AGATGATCTGAGGAGGAGTACCACATCTGAGCCAGGTATCTCTTTGCTAGGAACACAGAAATGATCAAGAGGACCATACGTGACAGAACATTAAAGGGAACACATACGCGTGGGAGAGGATAGTTTAGCAATGTGATCTTAAACAGAAATCAGAGTCACTCAATCCCATGATGGAAAGTGGGCAAGTGAGGATGTGTCCTATGGTGTAGAGTGGCTAGGGTGTGATGGACTGTACTCGGTAAGTCAACTACATCCAAAACCTCACTCGCTGGGTACCGATATGCTCACTATGGTAGGATGAGGATCATACTGTCTTCACCTCAAGTTCCAGAGTCAAGAGGGAACCTAACATTCTACTCCAGGAACTCACAGGGTAGCCTAATGCCAGGGATAAGGGAATGTGTCATCCAGAATCCGTGGGAAGTCCATCGTATGCACTCAACTCAACCAACGAGACTGTGAAACCAGCCTGAAACAACCCCAGGTCAGTAACAACCTTATCACCCAAAAAGGGAAAATCCATAACAGAAGCAGAAACAGGCCATGTAGACTTTCTGTGACCCACAACACAGAAGACAATTTGAGAAGGGAAGATGGACAACCCAAAACCTGTGTGAGGACTTATGTGAATGATTCACTCAATCTCCAAAACCTCACTCACTGGGTATCAACATCCACGCAAGGGTAAAAGGAGGGCACCCAATCAGAGGGGTAATCTGCACTTAGGTGTCTTGACTCCATGAAATAGTTACCCATCAGGAGGATCTTGTAACTTCCTCTACACTGGCATAACATCACCACTCTACTCTTGAACTGAATGGTTATAGCCATCTTTGTGGAACCCATCCACTGGGTTGCCTCTATGGTCAATCATCCCAGTGGCTTGGAACTTGTAAATGGTAAGGACTCCAGTTTTTCACTGGAAGAAAGTGAGTAAAAGTGCAGTGGAGAGTCTGGAGGGATTGCAACACTAGAGACAGTGCAATGGGTGATCACGAAACCTTATTTTGAAAAGCAGAACACACCCATTTATTCAATCTAGGCATGGCAGGGATGGGCAACAACCTCCTTCTGCTTTGCCCATGCCATCAATGGGTGGTACGGTCCAGGATGGGCATGTTATGAGGTAATTAATACGAAGAATTTACACTATAGTGATTTTGTGAAACACCTCATCTCAAGGGTGAGCATACATAGCCATGGGAAATGTATAAGAATAAAAATGGCTTATAGTGCAGATTTGATAGCAAGATGTCTGCAAATGGTTATAGCCATCTAAGTGGAACCCATTTCAAGTACAGATAGAATACCTGGTCAGGCAAGACATACTTGCCACAGAGCGGGATCCAAATTGAAGCTGAAGCAGGGGTCCCTGAAAGAAAAGAAAGCATTAGTGAGGACTTACCTCATATCCCAGCTGTGGGGTTGAAGTAGGTGAGAGAGGATGGCTCATATACTGCTCAATCTCCCTGCGAATGAGCGACAATATATCTCCCGACTGGTCGCCCGTGCTCATGGCTGAAAATACGGCATAACACACTGGCGAAGTACCCAAAGTGGTGACTGTAACTTCAAAATTCATAAGCGGGAACATGAGGAAGTAATGCTATATTAAAATATTATCTCCACAACTGTGAAGTGTAGTAAATAAAGTTAAGAAAAATATAAAAATAAACCACTTCAAGGTAACTGAACAATGTAAAAAAAAAAAATCTGAACTCAACACCTGCCAAACAAGAAGTGATAGTTTGGCAGTGGTGCGTAGAGGGAGTAACATGCTCTCCTACTGGTGGAGAGGTAACGCATGATGATTTGCATAAGAGACAGGTTGGAACTTTGGATTCCAACAGAGGGAGGTTTAAGGCTTGTGGCATGCATTTCTGAAAAAGTTTGCATAAAGAGAGCAGCACAAAACGAGAAAAGCTAATCTTGTGAGGAACAGTACCTTATTGGAAATTATATTATTGACAATCAGTTTCATGACATTTCACCTTCAAGATGTTATTTGGAGAAAAGCAAAGCTAAAAGCGACTGAAATAAAACAGAAATATATAAGTATGTAATCTAAAACTCAAGTTTTATTTATAAAAACTACAGTGAAAGCAATTAACAATTTAAATATGTGAACTTAGCTCAAACCATAATATTAAATTTTGGTTTTCTACCTGTATAAAAGCTTACACTGTATATTTAGGTTATCTTTAAAGCTTACAGAATATATTCAGCTTGCACACTCTACTAGGTTTTCTGTGCCTTTTTTCACCTATCTTAAAACCCTATTGTAATTTAATTTTCAGAGGAATGGCATTTTTAAAAATACATTAACTCTTAATCAAAAGATATTGTTTACAGACTGTATATATATATATATATATATATAT